TATCGTCTGTAAACCAGGTAGAGTTCTATAGTATGTTACATGGTATCGTCTGGGACATGTGGCTAGCATTCCCGCTTACTTCCCCTAAACTGGTCTTTTCTACACTACATTTATTTCTGGTGACATCAAACACTAGCCATCCGTAGTTTGTCAAAAATGGTAAAATGACACCACACACTTGTTACTTATGAGAGTGGTACATATAATGATATCAAGAGTAGAATGTTCTGTGACCTATGGCCTTCGACCTTTAATAACTTGTGTTTATTAATTGGTTGCTAAGTCCAAGCATAATTATGTCACAATATTTACATTTTCCCTATTACTATATTAGGCAAAAGTGCAAAAAGTCAATAATAACGGATATTCATAAATCAGCGTCTTCCATGCTGTGTGCCAGTCATATCAATCTACACGCTCCAGGAGTTCCCGAAACATGAGATAGATGTTAAAACTAATGTTTGGCTATATCTAATTGAAAATCTTCATATTTGTTTTAAAAATACCAACTCAATACTTTTTACTTTGAGTGAATCCTGTACAGTAGTACTCGACAGTCACAGGTATATTTACAAAAAACAGTGAGGATTTGTCACAAGTTTTAGCAACATTATCAAAGCGCTATCCTCCAAAATTTGTGTTTCACTGAGCGTAACTGGGTAGCATGTAGTAACTGCAAACGAAAGAGAAATGAAAAACAAAAACAAAAACAAAAACCACACAAACAGCTTCACTAATAAAATGAGAAAATAGAACAAAGAAAATCTTGAGATATCAACAGAATCTAAAACTAGTAAGATTAGCTTACTTGTAGTCTTTGTAAGTTTTCTACAATGATCCTTATATACATATGAAACAAATTCAGCTAATTTCTTAAGTTTTATCTTGTTTACTTTCATGGTTTTATACAAATTGCGATTCTTTCTTATATAAAACATATATGTATATATATCAATTTCAACTTTTGACGTCGATGTACTGGCACTTGTATTGATATTTACGCTTAATAAAGACATTGATATCTGTGTTGTATGGATTTCTCACTTAACTATCGGAATTGTTTCATATTTGCAATTATTGATTATATATGTACCTTACAAACTTGGAAACTATCGATACTAACCTAACAGAAAGCAGTGGTCATGGAATACAGCTTTTTTGTACCATTTCTCTCATTATTAAAGATTCACCCTTCAATAACATTTGTTTCAATAAAAAGTATACAGATATATCTCTATCCACAATCCAAAGGAAAGTACTGAGGGGATCTTCTTAGAAACCGCAGTATCATTTTAGGACAGGATGGTTGACAGAAAATCTTTAATATTGACTTCAGATATAAATCTACTGCGTTATCTTCATGTTATAGAAAACTTTGGGTTCATTTTTTATCACCAACATCACCACACCACATGGTCCTAGCAAGCGTAAACGGTTGATAAAATGCAATCTTTGTAATATGATGAATATTTGATGCATATCCCAAATATTTCGGTGCATTATTTCAAGTTATGCATTTGTATCCTGGGAACTCTAATATTTTCTCTATTTTGATTGGTGTTTAACACTTTATTTTGTGTTACATTTACAGCATATCCACGGTTCACATGAATCACTTTTTCTGTCTGTCCTCTGTACTTTCAGTACTTTGATTCACTCAGATGTTGTATAGTGACTATACATGATGACATATTTTCTGTCATTAAAATCAACGTAATCTTCTGGCAAATCTTCGTAATGACTACTTACTATTATATCGACTATAGTTACACTCCGAAACACCATTTTTAAATGTAGGGGATCTGTTGACATAATGCTGTGTATCGTTTAATGGTATTTGAAGCTTTGTCAAATTAGATACTGATATTACATTGTACTATTAATGATATATAGTATATATCAGTTTGTACAAAGAATACTAAACGTTTCTGTTTACAGTGCCATTTTCGTGACAGATTTCATGTTTCTTTCTGTCCACTAGTTGTTCCTTACGGTGGTGCCTGTAATGAGTCTGGGCAGTGTACGTCTATCAAAGGAGTGTCCTGTGTCTCTAGCAACGATCGTCAGGTCTGTCGGTGTGTCACGGAATCCTATTGGAACAAGTCCAGTTCGTCCTGTGTCATAAGTAAGTCAATCAAAGTGTAAAGTAAGGTCAAGGGTTATTATTTTCAATTCACTTTTTTTCAATTTCTTTATTCCAAATGCGAATAGAATATAGGATTATAAAAATATTATATAAATTGCAGATCGATAATTGTAGCTCTAATGGCGTCATTGTCCTCACAGGCCTTGTCCATATCCGCTTTAACATGGGTACTACTGACCGCTGCCTGTCTGTTGACAGCCTTGATATCTGCTTCATTACGAAAACTGAGATCTTTCACTTTATCAAACATATTACTGATGGCCTGGGAGTTTTGTTCCAACTCATCAGTTCTTTTGGTAACCACAGTAACCTTCTCCTCAACGTCCACGACTCGTGCTGATAAGGACGACGCTTGTTTATCGTCAATTTGTTAACGTGCGTCTCAATCTTTTAAACCTTTCGTCTATTTTGGTCATGAAATCAATGATTACACTGTTCAGGAACCAGAGGGTTGTTCGATGATTTATCGGACAATAAGGAATCGGTAATACTACACTCCTCAAATAATGTTTTTCTAGTTTTCGCTAGGACGGATGACAGCGCAACCGCATTTTCCGTATAATCAGCCATAAACACAATATATATATAAGTCTACTGCATGTGATCGTTAGGATAAACAGTTGGGGAATACTAGATCTGCATTAGCGTTGTAACAGGTGTCCGAAATCGAAACCATGAAACTGTGTGCTATAGAGAGTACCAATCGCTGTCCGTTCTGGGTTGGTAGCACACAGTAGAATAATGTTACTATTTATAGCCCGATAAGTGTTCAGTATATGTTCAGTCAATTGTATCTTTTTCAGAGTCTAAAAATACAGAACGTCGGTAATATATCAAGGATGTGAGTAATTGGTTAGATCAGAGACGTTTATAACACATGCGTTATATATGTCTCTGGTTAGATGCAAACAACCTCTACGAATTCGTATGCAAGATTTTAGATCTCCATGACACAAACATACCTCGACCTCGAAGGATCTGTGTGATTACCCAGTCGGGCTCTTATATTACGCATTTGCCAGAGTTATCGATCTTTAAATATAAATACATATTTCCTTTTTTCCGTCACATAACTTTCATTTCTCTTTTAAAACCTTAATCAAATTTGGTTATGTTGTTTATATTGTTGATTTAATATTAGTCAAAATCCGTCAAAATTTACTAGACTTGCGGAATCTTAAAGCTTTAAAATAATCAATTCTTTGTTTCCAACAATCAACTTCATTTTCATTGAAATATTTGTACCAAATCAGGTAAGATATCTTACATCAACAACACCCCAGTGGTTCTTTGACATTGGCAATTTCTTAAAGTTACAGAACTTAAAATAATAGATTTTTGCCGTCAAATGGTTTTAATTTTTATTGTTAAAATTAGACCAAATTTTGTATTGTTTTGTAGCTGTAGGATCTCAAATGAGGTCATGATAGGTCAAATCCGTGAATATTTCAGTTACGGGACTTCAACAAGGAAGATGTAAGTAAGAAACTGGGTAAAAACAACAATTCCCTTATCTTGTTTTGCAAACTTAAATATATACTTTAGTTCTATTTCGCTTTCCCTAATTTGTAGACATAGTTTAACATAATAAACTATGACACTGCTGTATGTTAGATATGACGCTGATGATAATGAGGTTAGCTGTGCCATTATTTTGTAACAAGGTAAGCAATGACACTGCTAAATATCATGGGTAGTTATATCACCGCTGTATAACAAGGTTAGTTATATCACCGCTGTATAACAAGGTTAGTTATATCACCGTTGTATAACAAGGTTATATCACTGCTGTATAACAAGGTTAGTTATATCACTGCTGTATAACAAGGTTAGTTATATCACTGCTGTATAACAAGGTTAGTTATATCGCTGTTATATACAAATGTTAGTTATATCACCGCTGTATAGCAAGGTTAACAATAACACTGCTGTTCATCAGGGTTAGTGATGACACTACTGTTCATCAGGGTTAGAGATAACACTGCTGTTCATCAGGGTTAGCGATGACACTACTGTTCATCAGGGTTAACGATGACACTGCTGTTCATCAGGGTTAGAGATAGCACTGCTGTTCATCAGGGTTCGCGATGACACTGCTGTTCATCAGGGTTAGAGATAGCACTGCTGTTCATCAGGGTTCGCGATGACACTGCTGTTCATCAGGGTTAGAGATAGCACTGCTGTTCATCAGGGTTCGCGATGACACTGCTGTTCATCAGGGTTAGCGATGACACTGTTGTTCATCAGGGTTAGAGATAGCACTGCTGTTCATCAGGGTTAGCGATGACACTGTTGTTCATCAGGGTTAGAGATAGCACTGCTGTTCATCAGGGTTAGCGATGACACTGTTGTTCATCAGGGTTAGAAATAGCACTGCTGTTCATCAGGGTTAGCGATGACACTGTTGTTCATCAGGGTTAGAGATAGCACTGCTGTTCATCAGGGTTAGCGCTGACACTGTTGTTCATCAGGGTTAGAGATAGCACTGCTGTTCATCAGGGTTAGCGATGACACTGTTGTTCATCAGGGTTAGAAATAGCACTGCTGTTCATCAGGGTTAGCGATGACACTGTTGTTCATCAGGGTTAGAGATAGCACTGCTGTTCATCAGGGTTAGCGATGACACTGCTCTGTAGGGAATGAGGACATGCCAATGCTGTATAATAACGTGAGTTTTGACACGAGGTTAGAAAGTGTTAATATATCTTAAGTTGCGGTTATCTAAACCTTTTCTTGGCGATGTGGTAATTTAAGCACTTTTGTACTGTAGAACATGGTTATAACCAGACCTGTCCACCCGCAATATCCAACAGCTGCAAAGGTAGCCTTTTATGTAGAACTGACAACGCCATGTGTGATTGTCAGGAAATTGACTACTGGGATCAATCGGAACAAGAATGCTATGAAAGTTGGTATTCTTTTTCATAAGATTACAATATCATCTGGCGCAACTGCATGTTGATTAAGAGGAATTTATCATCATAGAAATAATCAGTAATGGTAACTTTTGTGTTGTGCATTATGTAAAACATAAAATGATTAATATAGGTCGGGTCAATCATCAAATATTAAGCCACTCTGAATGTTTCTAAGTGTAAATGTCGTATAATAAGTGTAAATGTCGTATAATAAGTGTAAATGTCGTATAATAATACATTTGCTTTTCTACTTTATTTTTTCATGCAATTAGTACTTCAATAAGTAAAACATGTAAGAGGTACATTTCTATATTGATGACAACAAAGATAATTATACATCTCCTGATTAGTTACTGTAGATAATTATACATCTCCTAACTAGTTACTGTAGATAATTATACATCTCCTAACTAGTTACTGTAGATAATTATACATCTCCTGTTTAGTTACTGTACAGATAATTATACATCTCCTGAATAGTTACTGTAGATAATTATACATCTCCTAACTAGTTACTGTAGATAATTATACATCTCCTAAATAGTTACTGTAGATAATTATACATCTCCTAACTAGTTACTGTAGATAATATACATCTCCTAATTAGTTACTGTAGATAATTATACATCTCCTAATTAGTTACTGTAGATAATTATACATCTGCTAATTAGTTACTGTAGATAATTATACATCTCCTAATTAGTTACTGTAGATAATTATACATCTCCTAATTAGTTACTGTAGATAATTATACATCTCCTAACTAGTTACTGTAGATAATTATACATCTCCTAATTAGTTACTGTAGATAATATACATCTCCTAACTAGTTACTGTAGATAATTATACATCTCCTAACTAGTTACTGTAGATAATTATACATCTCCTAATTAGTTACTGTAGATAATATACATCTCCTAACTAATTACTGTAAAGATAATTATACATCTCCTAATTAGTTACTGTAGATAATTATACATCTCCTAATTAGTTACTGTAGATAATTATACATCTCCTAATTAGTTACTGTAAAGATAATTATACATCTCCTGATTAGTTACTGTAGATAATTATACATCTCCTAATTAGTTACTGTAGATAATTATACATCTCCTAACTAGTTACTCTAAAGATAATTATACATCTCCTAACCAGTTACTGTAGATAATCATGCATCTCCTAATTAGTTACTGTAGATAATTATACATCTCCTAAATAGTTACTGTAGATAATTATACATCTCCTAATTAGTTACTGTAGATAATTATACATCTCCTAATTAGTTACTGTAGATAATTATACATCTCCTAATTAGTTACTGTAGATAATTATACATCTCCTAACTAGTTACTGTAGATAATTATACATCTCCTAATTAGTTACTGTAGATAATTATACATCTCCTAACTAGTTACTGTAGATAATTATACATCTCCTAATTAGTTACTGTAGATAATATACATCTCCTAATTAGTTACTGTAGATAATTATACATCTCCTAACTAATTACTGTAAAGATAATTATACATCTCCTAATTAGTTACTGTAGATAATTATACATCTCCTAATTAGTTACTGTAGATAATTATACATCTCCTGATTAGTTACTGTAGATAATTATACATCTCCTAATTAGTTACTGTAGATAATTATACATCTCCTAACTAGTTACTGTAGATAATTATACATCTCCTAATTAGTTACTGTAGATAATTATACATCTCCTAATTAGTTACTGTAGATAATTATACATCTCCTGATTAGTTACTGTAGATAATTATACATCTCCTGATTAGTTACTGTAGATAATATACATCTCCTAATTAGTTACTGTAGATAATATACATCTCCTAATTAGTTACTGTAGATAATATACATCTCCTAACTAGTTACTGTAAAGATAATTATACATCTCCTGATTAGTTACTGTAGATAATATACATCTCCTAATTAGTTACTGTAGAAAATTATACATCTCCTAATTAGTTACTGTAGATAATTATACATCTCCTGATTAGTTACTGTAGATAGTTATACATCTCCTGATTAGTTACTGTAAAGATAATTATACATCTCCTAACTAATTACTGTAAAGATAATTATACATCTACTATTTAGTTACTGTAGATAATAAACATCTCCTAATTAGTTACTGTAGATAATATACATCTCCTAACTAGTTACTGTAAAGATAATTATACATCTCCTCATTAGTTACTGTAAAGATACTTATCCATCTACTAATTAGTTACTGCAGATAATTATATATCTCCTAATTAGTTACTGTAGATAATTATACATCTCCTAACTAGTTACTGTAGATAATTATACATCTCCTAACTAGTTACTGTAGATAATATACATCTCCTGATTAGTTACTGTAGATAATATACATCTCCTAATTAGTTACTGTAGATAATATACATCTCCTGATTAGTTACTGTAGATAATTATACATCTCCTAACTAGTTACTCTAAAGATAATTATACATCTCCTAACCAGTTACTGTAGATAATCATGCATCTCCTAATTAGTTACTGTAGATAATTATACATCTCCTGATTAGTTACTGTAGATAATTATACATCTCCTGATTAGTTACTGTAGATAATATACATCTCCTAATTAGTTACTGTAGATAATATACATCTCCTAATTAGTTACTGTAGATAATATACATCTCCTAACTAGTTACTGTAAAGATAATTATACATCTCCTGATTAGTTACTGTAGATAATATACATCTCCTAATTAGTTACTGTAGATAATTATACATCTCCTAATTAGTTACTGTAGATAATTATACATCTCCTGATTAGTTACTGTAGATAATTATACATCTCCTGATTAGTTACTGTAAAGATAATTATACATCTCCTAACTAATTACTGTAAAGATAATTATACATCTACTATTTAGTTACTGTAGATAATAAACATCTCCTAATTAGTTACTGTAGATAATATACATCTCCTAACTAGTTACTGTAAAGATAATTATACATCTCCTAATTAGTTACTGTAAAGATACTTATCCATCTACTAATTAGTTACTGTAGATAATTATATATCTCCTAATTAGTTACTGTAGATAATTATACATCTCCTAACTAGTTACTGTAGATAATTATACATCTCCTGATTAGTTACTGTAGATAATTATACATCTCCTGATTAGTTACTGTAGATAATATACATCTCCTAACTAGTTACTGTAGATAATATACATCTCCTGATTAGTTACTGTAGATAATATACATCTCCTAATTAGTTACTGTAGATAATATACATCTCCTAACTAGTTACTGTAGATAATATACATCTCCTAACTAGTTACTGTAGATAATTATACATCTCCTAATTAGTTACTGTAGATAATTATACATCTCCTGATTAGTTACTGTAGATAATATACATCTCCTAACTAGTTACTGTAGATAATATACATCTCCTGATTAGTTACTGTAGATAATATACATCTCCTAATTAGTTACTGTAGATAATATACATCTCCTAATTAGTTACTGTAGATAATTATACATCTCCTGATTAGTTACTGTAGATAATATACATCTCCTAACTAGTTACTGTAGATAATATACATCTCCTGATTAGTTACTGTAGATAATATACATCTCCTAATTAGTTACTGTAGATAATATACATCTCATAATTAGTTACTGTAAAGATAATTATACATCTCCTAAATAGTTACTGTAGATAATATACATCTCCTAACTAGTTACTGTAGATAATATACATCTCCTAACTAGTTACTGTAAAGATAATTATACATCTCCTGATTAGTTACTGTAAAGATAATTATACATCTCCTAATTAGTTACTGTAGATAACATACATCTCCTAATTAGTTACTGTAGATAATATACATCTCCTAACTAGTTACTGTAAAGATAATTATACATCTCCTAACTAATTACTGTAGATAATTATACATCCCCTAACTAGTTACTGTAAAGATAATTATACATCTCCTAACTAATTACTGTAGAGATACTTATACATCTACTAATTAGTTACTGTAGATAATTATATATCGCCTAATTAGTTACTGTAGATAATTATACATCTCCTAATTAGTTACTGTAGATAATTATACATCTCCTAATTAGTTACTGTAGATAATTATACATCTCCTAACTAGTTACTGTAAAGATAATTATACATCTCCTGATTAGTTACTGTAGATAATTATACATCTCCTAACTAGTTACTGTAAAGATAATTATACATCTCCTGATTAGTTACTGTAGATAATTATACATCTCCTGATTAGTTACTGTAAAGATACTTATAAATCTCCTGATTAGTTACTGTAGATAATTATACATCTCCTGATTAGTTGCTGTAGATAATTATACATCCCCTGATTAGTTACTGTAGATAACTATACATCTCCTAAATAGTTACTGTAGATAATTATACATCTCCTAACTAGTTACTGTAGATAATTATACATCTCCTAATTAGTTACTGTAGATAATATACATCTCCTAATTAGTTACTGAGATAATATACATCTCCTAATTAGTTACTGTAGATAATAAACATCTCCTAACTAGTTACTGTAGACAATATACATCTCCTAATTAGTTACTGTAGATAATTATACATCTCCTAATTAGTTACTGTAGATAATTATACGTCTCCTAACTAGTTACTGTAGATAATTATACATCTCCTGATTAGTTACTGTAAAGATACTTATACATCTCCTAACTAGTTACTGTAGATAATTATACATCTCCTAACTAGTTACTGTAGATAATTATACATCTCCTAATTAGTTACTGTAAAGATACTTATACATCTCCTAACTAGTTACTGTAAATATAATTATACATCTCCTGATTAGTTACTGTTGATAATTATACATCTCCTAATTAGTTACTGTAGATAATTATACATCTCCTGATTAGTTACTGTAAAGATAATTATACATCTCCTGATTAGTTACTGTAGATAATT